TTTTTTTTTTTTTTTACCTCACACTTTGTCAGTGACACTAACTTTTGTTGACACCAAAATACAGTGTAATTACTTGGTGGGTCTTTATCGTAGTCAGCAGGATGCATCCATAGTAATTCAAGTGTATCGTTACTATACAATAACTGTTCGATTCGTTTCGGTACGTATGATGTTTGCGATACATTAACACTAATTGTACTCATAGCTATAGATGCACCAACATCATTTACAGCGCGGACTTCATAAACTTTAGGTTGGTCTAACCAAGAGAAAGTTACTGATGTTTCTGTAGATGTTTTTGATGTTCTACAAAAACAAAAAAGAAATAAAATAAAAATAGTAATTAGTTCAGTTATGTACGTATGTAAAGTAAAACTACTAAATAGGTATACAAGTAGAAAGAAATATGTATAAAAATGTAGAAAAGATTTAGTTAGAGAACCAGTGGCGTAGCTCGGGGTTGGTGGGAAGCGGTCGGGCGCAATGGTTTTAAGGGAGCGGCAAAACGTTTTTCGTTGTTTCTCAAGATAAAGAAATAATACGACTACTCTAAGATATTTTTCGAATAAAATTTTTATTAGAAAAGAATCAAGAACTGTTCCATTAAATACAAACGAAAATCGATATCGCCACTAAACACAAAAAAAAAGGCGCGCTGGTGGGTTGACGGCGAAAAAATACGCGTAAAAAAATGTTTACGAAAAAAGGCGCTTAAGGAAAAATTCGGCGAAGAACGACAGATATTAAGGAGAAGAAAAGGTTTTTGGGTAAGGCTGTGGAAGTGAGAGCTCTAGTTGAGTAATTAATTCGGGTTGTTTCGATCCCCTAGGCCCAACTGTCGTAGGAACAAATAGAATTTTTATTCAGTGTGAGAAAATATATAAGTATACAGGGTGTTCTAGATCACCCGTTCACCCCTCCTAAAATGGACGAAAAGGTTGTTTATTCGAAACCGCAAAAGCGTAAACTACTAAGTCGGATTACCGACTTCGAGTTTCGGCCGCAAGTGGGTTAAACTGGCCGGAAGTGCATTTCTTTAAATCAGACATAAATGATTTTTATCACAGATTCGGGTTCCAAGGACAAAATACATACCTTTTGTTAGAAACTTTCTTATCAGAAGTGCCTTTTTAAACCTCTAAATGACCTTCGAACTTCAACTCGTCCTGGACTTAAGCCTTGGACGTTAACCCAAATATGTTTACACTTGTCGGGAAAGTTCTGACCAGAGCAACGGGGAGTTGATGTTCCCTCTGACCCACCTCACTCTCGCCAGGCCAGACAATAAGTAATTAATTTTGGATATGTACATAAATTAATTCATTCTCTCTCTCATTCTCTACTTACACATGCGTCCCATTCCACGTATCAATTCTGTAATAAAATCCTGGTCCATTCTGCTCATGTCGCGCCAACTCCTCCCAATATAGGCTTATTACCTTTTCAGTGGAATTGTAATGAGTATAAAAGCCACCAGCAATCGTTTTTGGCGGACGATCGGGTATACACGATGTGGTTTTGAAGTTAAGAATGGTTGGCTCGTTCCACTTGCTATTTGTGGCATTCACACGCGCACGCACAGTCAATGTATAATTCCAATTTG